CAGGTAAATGACCCTGCCATTGCTTTAGGAGGAGAAGCCCTAATTCCTACCTGACCACTATCTTCCATGGCTACTAACCTATCAGAAAGCCTAGTGTTTTCATTTCTGCCTGGGTCCCTCACCTCAACCAAGATGTCTGACTGAAAGGACAAACCAGCACACTGACCCATGCGCACTGGTATGCCGCATCCAGGTTCCTCTCTGGCAAACCTGATTTCTTCCCCATCCCCCTTCAAAACTAGTTTAAAGTCCTTCTTATAAGCCCTGCTAATTCATGTCCCAAGATCCTCTTCCCCCTTTGTGTCAAGTTAACACCATCTCCTGCTATTAGGTCTGGTGCCTTATAGACCAACCCATGGTGAAAGAACCCAAAGTTCTGTCCGTGACACCAGGCTCAAAGCCAAGTATTCATCTGTTGGGTCTTTTTGTCCAAGCCCCCATCGCTCCCCGCAATTGGTGGGATGGACGAGAACACGACTTGTGCTCACGACCCCTTAACCACCTTCCCCAGGGCCATCGCTCCCCGCAATTGGTGGGATGGACGAGAACACGACTTGTGCTCACGACCCCTTAACCACCTTCCCCAGGGCCCTGAAGTCTCTTTTCATTGCCCGCAAGCTCCTTGATTTAATCTCATTGATACCTACTTGAAAAAGCAGCAAGGGGTAGTAGTCTGAAGGCTGAACCAGGGCAGGAAGTTTTCTTTTTATATCCTTGACCCTGGCCCCAGGGAGGCAGCAGACTTCCCTGTGGGAAGGATCCGGCCAGCATATGGGGCCCTCTCTTCCCAAATAATAATTACCCTTCTCTTTTTTTTTTTTTTAAGTGTGCTAGTTCTGATGTGAGAGGAAGACTAGTTTGCTTTAGGGAGTCCCCCAGATGGTGTCTCCTCTGCCTTCTGAGTCATCTCACCCTCAGCCTCTAGTACCTCATAGTTGTTGTGCAAAGGCAACTGGGAAGAAGTTACTATGAAGAAAATTTATCTCAGCCAAAACCAGCACAAATATGCACATCCATTATTAAGTAGTTGAAATGTTCAACTAGGAATACCGACTCAAACTCTGCAATTTACAAACACCTTAAATCAGCCATGTAAAAATTCTCCATGGGATCTGTTCTCCCGCAGCTCTGAATCACACCTAGCAGTTTCTTCATGGCACAGTGTAACTACTCTGTTTCTCTGGTAGCCCTACTCTCTCCTTCTCTACGTCAACAGACCATTTGGCAACTCATGAGATTAAAAAAAATGGGGAGGTAGCTCTCTTTTTGAGTAGTAGATGGGGAGATTCACTTGGAGGGACAAGAACAATCCCTGTATTCCCAGTCACGACAGGTAGGACATTATCAGGGGCTCCTTAGCAACCACACATTAATGACAACTGAGCTTTATTTCCCTACAGTTGCCAAGGTTATCCTACAATATTTCCTAGCTACTGCACCACATATTAGAGAAGGAGCAAGGGATACAGGGGAGACAAACCATCTTCTTCTTCTATCTTGTTTAGACTTCTGTAGAAGGAAGAAAAGATGTTTATATCTCTTCGTTCTGCTGGAGGCAGTGAACTCCCCAGCCCGCACACTGCACACCGACACGAAGGGACTGTGAAGCAGCAGGAGCCAGTAGGATCAGCATTCTCTGGCCACATAATGCTCCCCGAGATAACTACGGACCCCCAAAGACAACCGAACAGTGGGGATGGCTGTATGAGCAGCTGTGTCAACAGCCAAGGCTCTCATCCAATTGGAAGAAACAGGTATTTAAGATCCAAACACTTAAATGTATTTATATAAAACAATCTCTAGAAAAAAGCACCTGTGTCATTTTTTTCTGAATAAGCTATGTATATGAAAAGGACAAAATATATTTTATCACTATGCATTATCTTTTATAGTTGTACTAATTTAACAAGAAAACAAGAAACTTGAATAAGAATACATTAAAAAGAGCTTCAGTCATTCCACAAAGCCAAGGGAAAGTCTGAGAGGTTTTTCTAAAGAATTCAAATCCACATTTCCATTAGACCCATAGAATCACCTATGATACTGAAAATACTTTTAAGACTGCAAAAATGTGACCCAAAAAGAGTTCTATAAACATACTTAAACACTACAAATGCTAAGTTACATAATAAAAGCTAGAACAAAAATTTAAAGCATGTTTTTTTCTTCCAACACTTAAACTTTTCTTGAATCTGCAGGTCAAAGATGCTAACAGAATATCACTGCTCATCAGGCTTTTTATTTTCAGTTTGTCATTGAAAACAATCTGGTATAATGCAGTCTCACTAGCTTTTTGTTCCGAAGTCCTGTAACCTTATATTCCTAATGGTTGCTGTGATCAATCATGTGAAAATTATTGCAGCAAATGCTGAAACTGGAAGAAAAATATGATTAAATTGAGGCTGCACTAGAAGGGATATGTAAAGCACATCATACTGCTCAGTCTTAAATAGGTCATGAGCTGGAAGGGAAACGAACAACTCTCAGGTACCAAGGAACTGTGCAATGTTAAAAATCTTACATTCTCTCTGACACTCTAGGATGAACAGAAATCTACCGAATTCTGTATTATTTACTATACAGCACCGAACAGAAGCAGTTTCATTTTCATAAAATTTATTAATTGAAAAAATTAAAGATGGTGGAAGCCAAAATAATTTCCCCTAACAAAATGGAATATAGCCATATTCCATGGTACACAGGGAAGAGTTAGACTCCTCTTCCCATAGATCAGATACTGCACAGTTCAGCTTTTAAGATTTTTTCATGCTGGATTTCATCTGCGGCTCTGAAAGATTTATACCCACTGCACATCACGTATTGACTGAATGGCTCTCATTTATTTTTTGAGAATGTTTTGGAAAGAAGGGGTTATGTTCCAACACTTCTTTTCATAGGCTTCTGAAAAGCTTTCCGTGAGGACTAGGCCAGCACTAACAGGAGTGTTGGCAAATTCCTGTTAAATCCAGTTTGATCCAAAGCCCAACAGACAGACCCTTCTCTGAGAGCAACAGATTCTACATTAGTCCAATTGTTATATAGCTGTCCCTATTTTTCTGTTTTTCAAGCTCTTAATGTTGCAGTCATTTAACAGTAAATAGGGTTCTCAGAGAAGGTCAAATGTTCTTATATTTAGAAATCTCCAAAATTTTTTCTCTTTGTAGAAGATTATAATGTAACTATATAATTTGGCATCATACTCATCTCCATCACCAAAAACTGAATTCTTGCCAGGATAAGCTGCATGGCATTCCCTTCATTTTTCATTATCACCTGATTACTGTAAGCTTTAAAAGCAGTTCTTAAAAAGAGTAAGTGGTTCTAATTTTTCATCACAGATGCCTGCCTTCTGCTGCACTACTTCTATATTCTGTTATTATATATAGATTTAGCTTTTTTAATGGGTTCTAGGTGTTACTTCAGCTCCTGTGAAGGTCTGAAATATTACTATTATGAAGAATGTTTCAAATTTCTTTTTCAAAGTTGTTGTCAAGTATTTCCTGACAAGCCAGCACATCTCACAATCAAAACAGTTAGTGCTAATGCTGAACAGATTTTTCACTACTCTACTTATTTGCATCTGACCCCAGCTGTCACATCTATTTTAAATGCAGACACATCTCTCTTACATGCAAATGGAGTATTTGTGCCCCTTGAACTGCACATGACTTAAAAGAAGCTTAAATGCCTCTCCCCTGTTACCAGTAACACAACTCTGACTAGGGGAGCAGGAACGCAAGGGAAGAGATGGGACAATGAAAAGCCCTGGCTCTTCAAGGAAATAAGTCACCATCACCAAACCACCCCAGGGTTCAGCTGCATCCTGAGTGATCATAAGGAATGCCTGCTTGTGACCTTCAGGTCGGCTCTCCCTCTCTTAAGCTTTCCAAGGTTTTAGAATATGTTTCTTATGGCTGTTGGACACAGAAAGGTTAGGGTAAACAGGCGGCCAGAAACTTTGCCACCAGCAGCACACTGCATTTCTTGATATTTTTATTACTGTTATAATATGGATAATACAGTCTTTCACTTACAGGTTCCTTTGTTTATTAAAAATGCAAGATAAAGAAAGAATACAGAAAAGATTATACTTCCCAACAATCATCACTTCTTTGTACCAAGGATTATTAGATATGGACATGTTGGAGCAGGTCCAGAGGAGGCCACAAAAATGATCAGAAAGTTGGAGCACCTCTCCTGTGAGGACAGGCTGAGAGAGTTGAGGTTCTTCAGTCTGAAGAAGAGAAAGTTCCAGGGAGATCTTACTGGGACCTTTTAATACTTAACAGGGGCCTCTAAGCAAGATGAGGACAGTCTTTATAGCAGGGTGTTTTGTGATAGGACGAGGTGATGATTTTAAATTAAAAGAGGGGAAATTCAGAATAGACCTATCTAGGAAGATAGATCTTTTCCTTCTAGGAAAAAGAAGTGTAGGAAGACTTTTTACAATGAGAGTGGTGAGGCACTAGCCCAGGTTGCCCAAAGAGGTGGCAGGAGCCACATTCCTGGAAATATTTCAGGTCAGGTTGGACGGGGCTCTGAGCAACCTGCTCTAGTTAAAGATGTCCCAGCTCACTGCAGGGGGGTTGGACTAGATGGCCTTTAAACATTCCTTCCAACACAAAATATTCTATGATTCTATGATTATTAGCTGAGGATCCATCCCTAGGGAAAGGCTGCAAAAACAATTAATAGAATTTAAGCAGAAGAAATATATTTACATCAAATATTACTAAAAAGTAATGTTGTTCTGATTCTTGGTCTGAGCTACTTCCCTACATAAAACACTTTGGAGTGCAAAATTGAAAGTATTACTACCCAAACTCCTCGATCTATTTTATCTAGTGAAAGCCCAGCCAAAGGTTTCTGCCTTCGTGCCTTCAATCAAGATCACTGACATAAGAACAGAATTAAGGCTTTAGTGAGAGGAGCATGTACCTCACTGAG